GCTGCGCCTTCCCCTATGCCGCCTACTCCATGCCGGCCTCCTGGCTGCACGGCCGCCTGCATCAGCTCTTTGTGCCCGCCGCCGTGCTCAATTCCTTCCTGTGCACCGGCCTCTCCTGCTACTCCCGGTGCGTTCTCGGCCGGCGGTGGAGGGGAAGGCGGCGGGGCAAACGCACGGCCCCTGGGGGCGCTGGGCGCCCTACGCCTGGGCGCCCTTAACGTTAGGAGCGAGAGGGCGGGTTCCTGGGCACCGCAGACCTGCGCTGTCTCCCAGCCACCTAAAGGGCAGGTGTCTTCATCCCCATTTCACACGTGTGGTCGTTCACGAAGGGGTCCCGTGCCACTTTAAAGCCACTAAGCTCCACTGACATCCATCCTGGCCCTCTGCCCTCCTCTGACCCCCACCCGAGCACCGAGTGGTGACCAGCCTCCCCCACCCGGCCCGGCCTCCAGATTCCCGGAGCTGGAGAGCCCCGGGCTGAGCAAGGCCCTCCGCACCGGCGCCTTCGCCTACCCCTTCCTGTTCGACAACCTCCCGCTCTTCTACCGGGTGAGGCGCCGGCCCCGCTTCCCTGCCCGACGCCCCAGTCCCTGCCCTCAGCCCCGCTGCCCCTCCAGCCCAGCACCCTGCCCGCTGCGTCCCCTTCCTCACCGGATCGCAGGCGCCGCGGGTTTCCTCCCCAAACCCCGCCCGCTCAGCCCTGCTTCTCAAACTTCCCCAGCTGGGGCTGTGCTGGGACGGGGGCCGCAGCTGTGGGCGGGAGGCGCTGAGCCCCAGCCATGGCTACCACCTGCTGTGCGCGCTGCTCACTGGCTCCCTCTTCGCCTCCCGCCTGCCCGAGCGGCTGGCACCTGGACGCTTCGACTACATCGGTGAGAGCGCAGGCCCCGCCCTCCTGGGAGTGGGCAAGGGGAGGCGACTTCTCGAGCAGTGGGGTGTCACGGCCAGGGGACAGCGTCACTGGGGGGTCCTTGGGGACCAGGCCCACCCCCCACTTCTCAGGTAGCAGCGTGTTTGCTGGGGGCTGTGTGTTATGCGTATCAGCGCATGTACCGCTTCTGTAATTCTGGAGACCAGCTTTTCTTATTCCTGATTTTAGGGCGGACGGGGTGGCAGGCCCACGGGATGGGGCCACGTGCTGTGGGTCACGGGGGTCGCAGCGCTTGGAACGGGGTGTGTGCCGTGACTGCCCGCCCTCCCCACAGGTCACAGCCACCAGCTCTTCCACGTCTGCGCGGTGCTGGGCACCCACTTCCAGCTGGAGGCGGTGCTGGCTGACATGGGGTCCCGCCAGGCCTGGCTGGCCACGCAAGAGCCCCCCCTGGGCCTGGCAGGCATGGCGGCCACGCTGGGTTTGGCGGTGGCCGGGAACCTGGTCATCATCGCTGCTTTCACAGCCTCCCTAGGTTGGGCCCCCAGTACATGTCCCTTGCTGCAGGGTGGCCCGCTGGAGGGGGGTACAAAGGCCAAACAGCAGTGAGGCCCACCCCTGGGCCTGCCCTGGAGGAAGACAGAGCATCGACGGGAAAAGGTCGGGGGGAGGGGGGACCTGGAGTGACTGAGGAGAGTGCAGAGGAGAGGGGAGAGGAGCTGGCGTGGGGGCGGGGTGAGTGACGGTGCCGTCGAAGGGGCTGGGGAAGTGCTGAGGGTCTGAGGGGGGGTGTGCGTCCACGGGGAGGCGCTGTCCAGGGCCAGGTCTGCTGCTGGTGGCCTCTGCTCAGGCCAGGGAAGAACTAACACGACTAACCCGCTGACCCCGAGTGCCTGTTAACCAGCCCAGAGGGCCCACCGCCCCCCACCGCTCTGCCGTAGTGACCAGTCTGTCCCGGTCACAGCCACATGCTCGAGGGGCCCGGGCATTTGGGGTTGAGGTCTGTCTGAGCGTGTCACTGTAGGTGCAGTGGGTTGAGGATGGGGGGTAGTGCTGGGTTCCATGGGGCCCCAGTCAGACTTTATAAAGCCACTTCCCCTGCTTCTGGAACGAGGCAAGCACAAATAAAAACCAGCCGGCTTTGCAAAGCACTTTCTGGGACTGAAAAAGGTAAAACCCACTTGGCACTGCGGCCCCTCCCCGCCAAGCAGATGACGGACAAGGAGGCAGAGCCCACCAGGTCTTCTTCTGGAGTTTATTCTAGGGCAGCTGGGAGAAGGGGACCCCGCGCCTGCGGGGCAGGGCCGGGGTGGCGGGTCCTGCAGGCAGCGGGTGGGCCCTAGGCCGTGCCGTAGAAGCGCCGGTAGGCCTCCTGGAAGCCGATGTGGTCCGCCAGCTCGTCACAGTCAGGGTTGAGCTCGCACACCTCCCGCTTCGGCTCCAGGGGGTCCGGGTAGGGGCCTGGGGCTCTGAGGGTCCGCACAGGGGCGTCAGTCAGCCTCCCGGCAGAATGCCCGCGGGTGCCCCGTCCCCCCGCCCGGCGCCCGCCTCACCCCAGCCCGGGATCCAGGTAGCGCCGCAGTCGCTTCGCCACCTCGCTGCCCTCCTGCCTGGACACGAAGGCTGCGGGACAGAGGGCCAGGGCTCAGGTGGCTGTGAGTTAGGGGGACACGGAAGGGAGCAGGCTGGCTTCCTGAAAGCCTGGCAGGAGGTGGCAGGAAGCAGATGGGGCTGAGGGGACCGGGTGGGGGTGCTGCGGGTGGGCAGCACCACAGGTGATGGGGCACAGCCCCCGTCGGGCCTGCCTCCTACCTGTTCCTCTGCTGGACTCTGCTCCGCTGGGCTTTGCGTCTGCAAAGGGAAGGAGCCTGGTCCAGCCCTGCTCAGCCCCAGGCCTCCCCATCGCCCCCTGCAGGAGGGGCAGGGCCAAGGCACCTTCCCCTTACAGCTCCCCTCCTCACTGGCCGGGCGCAGTGGGGACACTCACCAGCCTGCTCGGCGAGGCAGAGTGCGGCCAGGGCCAGGAGGGCAAGGAGCACGGGGAACCTCATGGTGTCAGCGGCTGCTGCTCTGCTTGCTTGGACTCGGCCTCCGCCAGCCTGCAGAGAGGAGCACGGGGAACCTCATGGTGTCAGTGGCTGCTGCTTGCTTGGACTCGGCCTCCGCCAGCCTGCAGCCCCGTTTATACTCCGGGCTGCGCCCCGGGAGCCGGGGCCGTCTGCCAGGGCTATTTGGGGGTCATCCGCCCTGGCTCTGCAGGCCAAACCCCAAAGGATGTTGTGGTTGGAGCCACAGCAGCCTGGAAAGGCCCCTGGGAGTGGCGGAGGAGGAGGGTAAGCGGCCATCGTACACAGCCGCCTCTGGGTGTCCCCGGGCCCTCTGAGGGGGCCACTGCAGGTCCCCCAGCCCCTACTCACTCTCCCTTGGAGCCCCTGCCCCAGCCTCAGTTTGAGCTGTGGCTGGACAGCCAGGACGGGTGTGAGGGCCAAGAGAAAGGGGCCCAGGGGTCCACAGGGGTCCACAGTAAGTCAGGGAGCACAGACAGGCGGCGACTCCCGCTGTCAGCTGTGGGCAGGAGCCAAACCCCGGAGGCGGGGCCGGCCATGCCCTCGTTCACCCCGCCAGACGGCAGTGGCGGGCCGGGCAGGCGCGGCCCAACCCTGGTCAGGCCCGTGCGTCAGGACAGAAGGGGCAGGGGGAGTCCCGCGCCAAGAACCGAGCGCCAACAGAGGTGGGGCTGGGCCAGGGATGAGACCACCATGGTCTGGGGCAGGCCACCGGTCAGTGCGGTGGGGACCCTGGCCCCGTCCCCTCACAGGGTCTCCGAGGGCAGGGACATCTTTCCTGCCCTTGCTGCCCCGCAGTGGGGACGACCCTAGGGAGCCGCCCTCACAGAGACAGGACATCCAGCCTGAAAACCCTGTCCCTCAGCTGAGCCTGGGGGAGGGCGGGTGACTGCTCCCCACTCCAGGGCTTGGCAGGGCGCTGAGGGGCCCCTGGGTGTCTGGGTGCCGCAGCTCCAGGGGGAGAGACGGGCCATGGGCTCAGTTTAGGGGTGGGGGTGGCAAGCAGGGGCCTCCTGACGTCTCCTGGGTGGGCCCAGGGCTTTAGGACAGAGGTGACCAAGCCGCCCTCCAGAGTGAGGGAGAAGCTGTGCCCAAGCCACGTCCCCCTCCTGATGCCCGACTGGGGGGAGGGGGCACGAGGAAGCAGAGGCCCCCGGCCCGTGTGAGCCCCAAGGCCCACCGTGAAGCCTTCCTCAGAACTAAGCGGTCCAGCCGAGGGGTGGCCTGGGCTGGACACAATGACAGGCCCTGGGAGCTTGTCCTGGCCTCAGGGCACCCAGGGGTCCTGGTTCTGTCATGGCCCGGTGCCCTGCACCAACCACTGGAGCCCGGAGGCTCCCAGGGCCAAGAGGGGCTGTGGCCCAGGCGGAGGAACCCAACAGATTACAGTGTGGCCAGGAAGTTTATTTACAGATGTGGGAGGACATGGCAGGGGCCTTTGTGTTGGCCGGCAAGGGGGCAATCAGCGGAGACAAAAAAAAAGGTTCCCGAGCCAGGTCCGGGGGAGGGGGGGTGCTCCAGAACCGCGGGGGGCGGGGGGCAAGCCAGAGGACAGTAGGGCGCTGGCCAGGACGCCAAGTCAGAAGAAAACAGGGTGACCTAAAGGTAGTACATGTGACCCGAGGGAGCCCCAAGGCACAGTGACAGTGGGGACCGCTCAGGCCGCGGCCCCCCATGCTGCCCGGCTTGGGGATGGGTCACACTCCAGCTGTTCCCGGCAGGCTCGCGCAGGCCCATCGACGGCCGCCTGCTCCCCGGCCGGCGGGCTCCGCTCACTGAGGCCCCCGCAGCACGGCCGCCAGCTCCTTCTGTCCTCGGTGCACAGCCTGCCACCAACGGGAGACGAGAGAGATGCTGCAGGGGGGAGAGCCCAAACCCGTCCCCTCCCGCCCTCGGCGCCAGGCCCGGGTCCCCCAGAATGGCAGGAGTCCCGTCAGCTGCCTCGGCTGCCTAGGGGACCCCCCCAGAGCAGAGCTCGTCTTCAACAAGGCCCCAGAGTGTCCCCTCACTCCCCGGCCCGCCCGCCACAGACACGGTCAGAGACTCTCGGAGGAGGTGACGTCCAGCTGGGCCAGACGCGGAAGCGGCGGCGCAAAGCTCTGGGTGCTGCAGCCTGGTCCTCAGCGCGGAGCACGGAGCACGCACCCCACTGGCCCCCAGACCCGGGGCCTCGCTCTCCCTCTGACCGTCGGAACTGGCGGGGCCCTGTTCTGAAGCCAGGGCCCACACGGGGGAGCGACTGGGGACTCAGGTGATGGGGTGGCAATGGCAGAGCAGCATCTTGCCCGAGGACTCGGCGGGGTGGCCCCAAGGGTGCCTGAGACACAACTCTGGGCTGTGGAACCTGCCTGTCAGACAGCACCAGGCTGAGGGCTTTGGTCACTAGCACCTTGGTGCCTGCTGCTCGGTCCCCGGGGGCCAGTCTGCTGGTGGGGAGGTAGGGAGTGGGGCCTTCCTCTGAGGCTCGGGCCAGGATCTTCAGGCTCAGCTGACTGGTTTCGGGACGAGAAGACCCAGGGGATCCGGGAGCCATGGATCTGGGACCCTCCCCCTTGCAGACAGGAGGGCCTGGTCCGCCTGGGCAGGGGGCTGTCGAATGGCTTGGTCGTAAGATGGATGTGTGAGGGGAAGACCCCACCGTGGTGCTCCCGCCCAAGGCCCCCCCAGAAACCCTCCTCAGAACCCCATTTTGAGCCAGGAAGACTCATGTCGCCGCAGTGCAGCCACACCTGCCGCCCGTCACCCGGTGTCTCCCCTTCATTCACCGACTTGGCCCCAAGTGACTTCAGCCCCCCGGAAAGGACACGCGCGTGGCACGGAGGGCGTTTGGGGTGTGCGAAGGCTCCAGGAGCCGCTCTGCTGCATGAGCCTGAGGTACCGGGCGGGGCACGTGGGGCCGAGCGAGCAGAGTGGCAGAGGGTCAAGCTGACTGGCCGGGACACGGGGGAGCACGGGGGAGCCGTCCCCCGTCCGGGCCGTGTTCTCCTGAGCTGCGGGCGGGGCGGGGCGGGGCACCCACCTGCCAGGCCTGCCACCGGGCCCGGCTCTGCATCTGCAGCGCCTCCACCTGCCTGCGTCCGGCCCGCACGGCGTCCGCCAGCTGCTTGTTCTCCACCTCCTGCCTCTGCACCCGGCGCTGCAGGGTGTCCCGCTGCTGCAGGAGGTAGGGCGCCAGGGCGCTGCGCATGTCCTTCTCCGGGGCCCCGCTGGGGCGCCTGCAGGGGGCATGAGGGGTGGACGTGGGTGGGGTGAGGTCCCACTCCCCAGCACAGTCAGTGACATGCCCGCTCCAGTCTCAGATGGGCTGGCTTTCAAGGTCTCACCAGTGGCCCCTCCCACCTCAAGATCCACGAAGGCCACCCGGGCCTCAGCTCCAGCACCCAGGAGCCCCTCTCCCCTCTCCCTCCCGTCAGTCCCCTCCACCCACACGCGCCCCCACCTCCCACGCTCCAGGCCTCTGGCGACTTCTCAGCCCCTGCCCCGTCCTCCTGGCTGGTGCTCCACTAGGCATGTGAGCTGGGGGCTGGAGTTGCGCAGAATGAGCCCCCCAGATGGAGTGGCTGCCCGGCAGCGGGCCCCGACCCAGAGGGGCCCACGCGAGGAGACGTAAGGACAGGCCTGGGGAGGTGGGATTACAGGCGGCCGAGAGCCCCGAGGGGGAGACGGTCAGTTGTCATGGGCAGTGGGCTGGGAGCCACTGTAGATTCTTTTAAATTTTTCAGTTATTGAACATTTCTCTTAAGCATTACAGCCACAAAGAAAGGAGGAAACACAGAAAAGGTTTTGCTCCCTCCCTAGGGCCGTATCAGGCGGGAGCTCCACTCCGCCCTCCTGGGCCCTCTCGGCCTGCACAGGGCAGCCTGCTGAGACGTGGGTCAGGACGGAGGGTCGGAGGGTCGGAGGGTCGGGACGAGGGAGGGGGTCCGCAGTGTTTTGGCCACAGCCACCTTCTGCCGCTGAGACACGGGGGCGGGCGAGGGCGGTGCTCCCTCAATACTCGCTGGATGATCAAAGGGCTGAGGGCCAGCTGCCACCAGGCCACGATGGCAGCCCTGCTGCTCAGCCTCGGCACCCTCCCTCCCCCTCCCCCACAGCCAGGCACAGGTCCTGACCTGGCCTCCCAGGAGGCTCCCTCCGCCTGCCTCTCACCCCGGGCAAAGTGGGCCTGCCAGGCCCTCCCCCGAGAGGGGGCTGTGCGTGTCACTGTCTTGGGTTACTGTCTGGTGTCTGCCCTGTCCACCTGTCCCTATCTCAGGCACACGGATCCCTCATAAAAGCACCTCCGAGACGCTCAATGCAGCTGCCCCCCGGAGCCCCCGGCCCTCCTCACCAGGCCGGCTCCTCGCGGGCCTTCCCCTCCTCCACGATGGCGTCCAAGTTGCTCAGGACGGCCTCCAGGTTCCCCTCCGCTTTGATCTCAGCCACCTCCTCCTGAGGACAAAGGGGGCCAGAGCTCACGGGGACC